GGTGTTCAAAATTTTGTTACGTTGCCTGCCTTTTTATACATTTACTGCCCAAACGCATCTTTGGTTGTCCAGTTATTCTAAGCTTGTCTTATAGGTTGGCTGGTGAGGAATGAACGTCGGAAATAGCTGCTTGCAGCTGAAGGAGAAGGTAGAAAAGATTGGCGGTGATTTGGATAGTATAATCCTCCGAAACTGCAGGAGCGCTGTTCGGAAGCTCCAGACGAATTATCCAGATTTTAGTCTCCCGGATTTCTCTTTCGAAATTAGTTCACGAACAACATGTTCGGTAAGTGCCCACCCTTTGAACTGCGCATTAAGATATCATACGATCTCTTTAAATGTCCGGAATTTGAACATTGCATGCGGTTTTTATTTCTGGTTGCCTTGCGATCATCCGATGACAGTATAAACCTTCTATCGCCAAGAAATAACAAAACTTCCCACTGGGTTTCTATTATTAAAGTATACAAACGTCGGGAATTGACAACCAATAGGTTACTATGTCAAACAGAAAGTACAAATATTTCTAAGCAAGGATAAAATAGGTCGCGCTTTTTTCCCCGAATATCGGTCTGCATTATCCCAATATCTCCACATGCAACTTTTACAGCGAGGACGGTATTGTATATGATGGTTTATGGGCCACCGTGCACTGGTTGGGATGCCGTCTACTGAAACACAGCGGGGTTCGAGTCTATTCAACAGCACGAACATTATCTAGCACGATAGAAGCGAGATCTTAAATCACAATTAATCGTGCTTATGCTTGACGCTTGGCACACACGAGACTAATGAAGAACTCCGATTGTTGACATCTATCTGTTACGGACCGGTCCTTAGTTAATCGGAGAACACACACAAGTGAATCATCCATATTCTGATTTGGATGTCATAAAATTCTCGACGGTTACTTTGTAGAGCCAGCCCTTAATATTGTACCTGTTGCCGCAGATGCATTTTGGTTAGTCACACGATCCTTTGATTGTTTGTTTCTCGTACATC